TGTGTGTTGTGTGTGTGTGTGTGTGTGGTGTGTACTGTGTGGTGTGTGTAAAATATAATACAATACACACTACAAACAATATAATATATATATATATATATATCATATATATATACATATTATATATATATATATATATATATATTATATATTATATATATATATATATGTGTGTGGGTGTGTGTGTATGTGTGTGTGTGTGTGTGTGTGTGTGTGTGTGTGTATAAATACACACACACACACACATATATATATATATACACATATACATAAATATACTATATATATATATTATTATTATATATATATATATACATATATACATATATGGACACTATATATTGATTATTATATTGTATTTTTTTCCAAAAACAATTATATTGTTTGCTTTGCTCGGGCATTCATTCATGTGTGTTATGGTCCACGGGTCGTGTAATGGTTCAGTTTCAGGGAACATTTATTTTAATTCAATAATGAATAAGGTCGACACTGAGTCAGACGAATGAATCTGGGACTCGATCTGAGACTTACTTAGTTTCTGACAAAGCCTGGTCCTGTCAATTAGGACTGAGTCCTGGAGTTATAGTTGTGGGAAAACTTCCACAACTCGACACCAAGCCATTCCCTGGAGTGAATCAAAAATATTTGTGTGGTTAAAACGTTTAATTAACCCGACATTTTCATGTCTTAAATTTGCATTAGCTTAGTTTGAGGGGTTTCTAAATGAAAATGACTTAAATAGATTGTTTGTTTATGGATTTTTGGGCCACCTTTTGGATTCTCAGGGACTAAAAGCCTAGGACTGTGCAACGGAAAACGCACCTTCCTTCCTTAGTATAATTTCTAATAGAATTACTCCCTCAACCCTTTGTATTCTCCATTGTGATTAAAGTCCATCTAGCTCTCCGACTATGTTGCACGTCACGGTTTGGGCGGTGGGTCTGGTATGGTATAGCCAGACACACGAATTGACATTGTGACACAAGGCACGGTCACCTTTCGTGTTTCACCAACAATCAACGGCTTCTATATTTTCAAGAAATGTTACACCAAGGAGGGCGAAACTAGTCTTCGAAAATCAAATTGACTGGACCAGCATAAATGTTCACAACAGCCTTAGCCCGCATTGAGGCAGGTTTACCCAACAAAGGTCGCCCGGGCAAACTAAATCATCTTTTTCAAAATGTTCTATCCTCACATGACTTTACCTTTGGGAGTTGGCATCCTGGAGTTAGAGTTGTGGGAAAACTTCCCAGAACTCGACCCACCAAGCCATACCATTCTTCCAACACGATATTTTTTTTTTTTTTTTTTGGGGGGGAAGACAAACAATATATATATATATTATAATATTATATATATATATATATATATATATATATGTGTTGTGTGTGTGTGTGTGTGTGTGTGTTGTGTGTGTGTGTGTGTGTGTGTGTATGTTTGTATGTATGTATGTATGTATATATGTATATGTATATACAAATAAATAAACACACAAGCGTCATTATTCTCACATACAAAAGTTTTAACGGTACACACTTGTTGCATTTCCTAGTCTCGCATCACCGTTGCGTAGCAGTGTGGACGGGATAGATTGCAATGTTGCGCGTCAAAATGTGATACAAACATACGCAACGGGCTCCATCCGCCATTTGTCGGTCTTTTGCCGTCACATCAAAGGAATGATACACAACTCACCAACCCTCGTGTGGACGGGGAGCGTGGCATCGTCCCGTTGCACGTTGTCTTGTCAGCCAACACAGTTGTCCCATTGCACATGTCCCTACTTGCACAGGGTTTAGACACCCACCAACGAAGTGACTTTTTTCCTTTTACTGACTTGATGTTCATGAATAAAAATGTACGCGGCAGTAGCCAACTACATATTTGCACTCATGGCTGCGGTAAGGAAGAAACTGAATGACACTGTTGCAACACCGAACGATGATACAACACGTAGATTCGCAACAAGTGGGTACAATACCCAGTTACACCGTATCGTATCACTGGGTGATACGCAATGATGATACGATACGTGGAAATGCAACGTGTGTACCCACCTTACGGATGTGGGCAGAAGACGAAGAGAAGGAAAACGTAGGGTGGAGAAGAAAAGTCCCTGCAAAATTGGTTGAGATCCAAGGAAGGCCGCTAGGGCGAGTCCCCACACTGGGCCTCAATCGCCGTCACGAAACTTCGAATCCCCAGAACCTTTATGACTTTACCCAGCACCTAGCTATTGAATTTTGAAAAGCAAACGTGTCTCACCGGGAAACCTCAAGTATTACTGTTCCAAGATGTTAATGTGCTGTCAAGAGTCCCTTAATTATCGAAAACTAAAATATTGTATATGTAATTGAAATTGTGAACAAATGCAATCGATCTTTATCTTAAAAAAATAATAATATAAAAATAAATAAATAAATAAAATAAAATAAAAATAAAAAGTCGAGTTGTGGATAAGGTGCCCTGGATTACATTTTTTTTAAGAATCTGTTGTACTTGAAAGTGTAATCAAAACGTTTATTGGTCGTTAATTAGTATGCATCTTCATTTGCGACCCTAGACATTTTGGTGTTTTCAATTACATTTAGGTTAATTTGAAATAATCCTTTATCCATAGCATCAATTAAATGTGTACTCCCTCTTTTATACAAAATCAGTTTTGAGCGTCCTCACATCCCTCAGAATTCAAGTATTCCCCATCTAATCCAGAAATCCCCCCCAAAATATGCTTTAAGTTGGGGATATGGTGTCTGAACCCTGGAGCGAATCAAAAATACTTGTGGTCAAAACATTTAACCCGACATTTTCATGCCTTAAAGCTGCATTAGCTTAGTTTGAGGGGGTTTCTAAATGAAATTGACTTAAACAGATTGTTTTTTTTAATGATTTTTTGGGCCACCTTTTGGATTCTCGGACTAAAGCCTAGGACTGTGCAACGGAAAACGCACCTTCCTTCCTTAGTATAATTTCTAATAGAATTACTCCCTCAACCCTTTGTATTCTCCATTGTGATTAAAGTCCATCCAGCTCTCCGACTATGTTGCATGTCACGGTTTGGGCGGTGGGTCTGGTATGGTATAGCCAGACGCACGAATTGACATTGTGACGCAAGGCGCGGTCATCTCTCCTGTTTCACCATCAATCAACGGGCTTCTATATTTCGGGAAATGTTACACCAAGGAGGAATTACGACTCGTGTTGTCGTACACCACTCGATCCTGTGCCTCACTGCCAGGCTCCGACTGCATAATAATGTCGTTTGGACACCAGCATAATTAGGCCGGGCCACTCTAGTGAAAAGGCCCGGTCGAAGCTAGTCTTCGAAAGTCTTTGAACTGGACCAGCATAAATGCTCACAACAGCCTTAGCCCGCATTGGGGCAAGTTTACCCAACAAAGGTCGCCCGGGCGGACCAAATTATCTTTTTGAAATCATTTCAAAATGTTCTATCCTCACATGACTACTTTTGGGAGTTAGCATCTTTTGGGATTTTCTTTCTTACTTACAAGACATTAAAAAAATAATAATCTAATAAATCTTTATTAAAACATAGATATCTATATAAACAAAATATTTTGAAAAGAATATACAATGTAAAATAAAATGTATAAACCAAGTTTTTGTAACAATTAACATTAACTTTTGTTCTTCCAAATTTTGCTTCCTTGATACTACACTAAGACTTGCATACAATCTCAGTTCACTTATTCAGAACCACTTCATGCATTCAAAGGTTTAGTACCTGAAGGCTGTACAGTCATTTCCATTGCATTGCTGGCATTGCTTTATTTGCACATGCAAATACCTTAAACAATTTCAAACATTGCATTGATTACACTGCTTGTGGACTTTAGATCCACATACGTATCTTATATTGTGCGAAAACTGTTTTGTACAGGGACACCATATTCCCTACAATACTAAGATATTTAAGTTGTGAAATTGGCTATAACATAAACTTGTTAAAGCGAGTTTCATTTAGTAAAGGAAGAAACAGGGTCACAGAGGTACATGGACAATAGATTTTCATGAAAACTGGCAATGTTCATCCATATTGTAGTATAAAATCACCATCCTCAGGAAATATATTCATCCATTCAGGTAATACATACAACTTGTGTGTGAAATTCCTCTTATTTTATTTTTCAATGCATATACATTGTGGAACTGAGAATTTGTGGTGTTTATGATGGTCAGATAATATTATGCATAGGATTTTGACTCATTTGCAATTCATCACCAGCCATATCCTTGCTTCCTGTTTCTTTGGTGGAGTTCTTTCTAAAGTTGGACATTTCTAGGATGCGATTAAATCTGTGTCATATATCTGAGCAAGATTTCAAAGCTCTTTTTAACGTCAAGTGCCTGGGCCAGTCCTTGAGGCATTTATCAATTCAATCTCCTCTGGACTACTATAAATCCAATTTTAATATTTAAAAAATGGAGACATACACACTGATGTTGCATTCAAATGGCTTTTCTCTTACCATCAACCCTTGTTATTTGATTTTTTTTTTTTTTATGTACCATTTCTTGTCTTCTTGAAAGTGTTATAGATGCATAATGATACCAAAGAGGAGGATGTATTCTGAATATAGAAGCATTAAAAAGTGAATTTAACGGATGAATGGGGCAAGAGAAGAGGAAGAGGAAGAGGAGAATGAGACAATTAGAAAAGAAAGAGGAAGAAAAGGGTAAGTGGTAAGAAAAGGCATCTAAACCCTAGAGCTTGGCCTTGAGCTGTTTGGTATCTTTTTGGAATTCTTGTAACTTCATGGCCAAGCCCATGTTTCCCTTTATCTTCAACTTTCCTTGGAAGAAGGCCTTCTGTGGGTTCAGCTTCCCTTCCATCAGATCAACAAGGTCGTTGTCGTTCATGGTGATTGTGACATCTGGCTTGGCTAGAAAAAAAAAAGATCATGAAATCATGAGAACAGTGTATTGGCATATATAGTAGTTTGTCTGCATTTAATTTTGAATTTGACACAGAGCACTGAATGTGGTGTCTAAGCACAAAACTCTCGGTATCATGTCTTTTTGTGTGTGTGTGTGTAAGTAGGTGTATTCATGAGTACTTATGCATGTGCATACGGGAACTTGCAAGTTCAAATTTGGGCATTCAGGACCTTAAGTGTGTTTTTTTGTGTAAGTAGGTGTATTTGTGAGTTTTTATCATGTGCACATGAGAATCTGGAAGTTAAATTTGGGTGTGCATATTTGCTTGTAACTAGCTTATAGTTTTTGTTTATACTCACCCGAACCATTGTAGACAACTGATCCCGAACCATTCTTGGCATCACAATCCACTTGGCTATCTTTGCCATCAGGAACCTTGACTGGAAGCAGTATAACCTAAATATAAAGAAAAATCAAGCTAGGTCATCTCTTTATGGTCATCATATATAAATATATTACAAAAACTTTAACAAAATAATTCTTACTTACCTTGTTAACGAGCTTAGGTCCATCTTCAGAAAGCGCAACTTCAATACATTGAGATGTTTGCACTTTTAAACTCCTCTCAGCTGATGTAGCTGCTGCCACAATCCTAAGGAAACATTTAAAGAATAAATAATAAAATGAAGTAGTTACAGGAAATGAAATGCAAAGTAGATTGGAGATCATGATGCCTTTATCAGAAAATGAAATGTAAATCATGGAGATTGTAACTTTATCATATATATATTGTTATATGGAGTATTAAGCTTTATAGGGCTTATATTCAACCATGCTGTCATTCTGAAATCTTTCTACATCCAGCTTTCTTTAATGATAAATTAATATACTGTAATGTTCTAAAGTTCATAACAGCATAGGAAAAAAAATAAGGAAAACAAAAAATTATATAACATTAAAATAATACTCAATGCATGTCTAATCAATATAATTATAACGGAAAATCTTGCTGGAAAACTCAACCATAGATACAACCTAAACTCACCCCGTTCATTTCTCTGAAGCCCATCCTGTAGAGTGCTACAACCGCTGCTCCTCGGGCCAATGTTATGCTGAGAGGCTAATTTTGCCCCTGGCACTTGACGTTTGCCAGCTTCACACGCAGCTGCAACAACTCGGCACACTGCGCAAGGCCTGAAAAGAGGATAACTTACTGGTGACTATGTTAATAAAAGCACAACAACATAGCAATTCCTAAAATAATCCTGGTAAACATATTTGTAGAACAAAATTAAAAATGCCAGCAATGACATCCACTAGCTTCACAACCTACGAGCTCAAGGGTTCTCTGACAAAGGAAAGAGTGCTGATCAAACGCTCAAATATAGTAGCACTATATCTTCTTATCAGTATCTGATAAAGATATTGTCTCCAAGGCAGATGGACCCAGATAAAAAGGCAAGTAGTCATCAACCAAAATGAAAGCAGACATACAAGTTCAGGAGTATGAAAAAATAAATATGTCTTCTAAGGGAAAATAATGAATATAATCATTTAATATAAATTTCTCTTATCTGTTTTATTATCATTTCAATTTTCCCTTCAATTCACATCTGCATATATCTATTCTGACATGGGGGAAAAAGTCATTCCTCTCCTGTAGCTTCCAACTTAATCTTTTAGTATTACTAAACATTCATTTTTTTAACTTCCATGTAGTGGTAGTTTTTAAAAATGTGGTATTCTGTTAATACTAAACCTTGTTATTCTATAAAAAGTAATTCTGTAGTCCTAATATTTTCTTGGTATGTGCATTCCACACAATCTGAAGAGAGAGAGAGAGAGAGAGAGAGAAGAGAAGAGAGAGAGAGAGAGAGAGAGAGAGAGAGAGAGAGAGAGAGAAGAGGAGAGATAGAGAGAGAGAGAGAGAGAGAGAGAGAGAGAGAGAGAGAGAGAGAGAAGAGAGAGAGAGAGAGAGAAAGAGAAGAGAGAGAGAGGAGAGAGAGAGAGAAAGAGAGAGAAAGAGAGAGAAGAGAGAAAAAGAGAGAGAGAGAGAAAGAGAAGAGAGAAAGAAGAGAGAAAGAGAGAGAGAGAAAGAGAGAGAGAGAGAGAGAGAGAGAGAGAGAGAGAGAGAGAGAGAGAGGAGAAAGAGAAGAAAAGAGAGAGAGAAAGAGAGAGAGAAAGAGAGAGAGAAAGAGAGAGAGAAGAGAGAGAGAGAGAGAGAGAGAGAGGAGAGAGAGAGAGAGAGAGAGAGAGAGAGAGAAGAGAAGAGAGAAAGAGAAAGAGAGAAAGAGAAAGAGAAAGAGAAAGAGAAAGAGAAAGAGAAAGAGAAGAGAAAGAGAAGAGAAGAGAAAGAGAAAGAGAAAGAGAAAGAGAGAAGAGAAAGAGTGAGACTTTCTCTTTTTCTCTTTCTCTTTCTCTTTCTCTCCCTCTCCCTCTCTCTCAGAAAGAGAAAGAAAGAGAAAGAGAAAGTCCTGTGTGTTGTGTGTGGTGTGCTGCAGTGGTCTCATCATGTTGACCTGCGTTCAATCCCCTCACCGGTAGTGGATAGTAACCCTGGCCATTCCTTGCACACAGGGGGTAATTTAGAAACAAATGTAACTGTTAGCCTGTCACACCAGAGGAATCATTTTAAAAAATGGAATAAAACTAAATTATATAAAATTCCAACTTGCATTAAGCATAAAAATTTCAATGGGGAATTAGTGGCAATTCTGGGAACAACACAAGCAGCTGAAAAGTTCTTCCAAAAACAGTGAGAACTCACTATACGCTCCACTGATTTGTAATCATCAATTTTAAATATTATTGTTTAAAAAAAATATATGTCACACAAGGTCAATTTCCTTCAGCTTTCCAACAGAGATTAACAAATTTTCATCACATATATTCTTGCAAGACAGCTTGGACTTGTTTCAACCTCAACCTAGATTACAAACCCAAGCCTGCATCACTCACATAGTCAGTGCATGCAAAGTTCAACTAAAGCTAGCTAAAAAGCTAGTTGTTTATATAAAATATTCATATTACAATCCACCTACTCACATGAAGTGTGTTCACAGTTTAATAACCTGTCCTGTTTTTCTGCAAAATAAATGTTCAGAATTTTGTACATATAATATAAATGATTTTAAAGCAACAACACTTTGGGAAGGAAGTTTAAAAAACGTTAAACCACATCCTCCACATATTCACTGCAGGCATGAGCGGCATTGCCAAGTCTCTCCTGTCATGAATATGTGGTGGATTCTTTGTTTTCCTAGGCAGGGGTTGGGGGGCGGCCTCCCTAAATGAGAGGGTCACAGCAGGCACAGCCTCCTGCATCAGACAATATAGTGACTGTTTCTTTGTATATCATTTACATTTTACCCTGCACTTTCCCTTGTACCTTTCATGCCCTCCCCTACTATTGCCGCCAAGAATGTGGGGGGTTTCTGCTCAATAATTTCTATATCTGGAAACTAGACAGTGAGAGGAATCTAAAAATACCAAAGTCATCATGATCCGTTATGCGGACATATGAAAAAATTATTCATTTATATTTCTTGCATGGGGTAACGGAAATTTTCTAGAATACATCCACCAAACGGATTGTGATGTTTTCAGTATCGTTGGATTCCTCTCACTGTCTACAATGCAAATATGTAGCTTTTACTGGGCGGAAGCTCCCCCCTTACCCCCACATTCTTGGCCTCGATAGCAGGGGAGGGCATGAAAGGTACCAGGGAAGTTGCATGGTAAAATGTAAATGACATAAACAGCATCATTCACAATATTGCCTAATGTAGGGGGCTGTGCCCCCTGCGACCCCCCCATGGGGAACTGCTATTGGGGCCAAGAATGTCGGGGTTTGTAGGGATCAGCGCAATAATTTCTATATAACTGGGAACTAGACAGTGAGAAATCCAACAATGCCGAAATTGTCGTGATCCATTTGGCAGACGTAATTACTATGGGAAACAACAGCTTCATGCATGTTACAATGTGCATAATTGAAACAAAGAATAATAACTGCAAGATTAGATGGCCCTATGAAACTAGAAATATACCTTATTTCAATTATCAACTCTACATACATGAACAATAAAAAGATCGAAGTAGGTTTCATAGGATTGCATATAAATGCACCCAAAATCGATCATTGCTAAAACTTAACCACAATTTGTTAAAAAATAAACGCCATCTGCGCCAAAGGGAGGCAAAAAAAAACCTAGCTCACTCTTCTGCCCTTCAACAGCCAAACGAAAGAAGTTCTTACTTCTCCCCATTCCCTAATTACATGACTCACCACTGATGCCCAAGATTAATGCATCCTTTCACCCATCATATGCAACCGAGTTTGAGCGAAATTCCCAAAAAGGAAAGCATTTAAAGCTGAATACCTTCTCACCACCGACAGCGGTCCGTGGTGAGAAAGGTATTTCAGCTTTTATAATTGCCTTCCTTTTGGGATTTCCCGCTCCAAACTCGGTTGCATATTATGGGTGAAGGATGCATTAATTATGGCATCAGTGGTGAGTCATGTAAATAGGAATGGGGAGAAGTAAACTTCTTTCGTTTGGCTGTTGAAGGGCAAATGAGCTAGGTTTTTTTGCCTCCCTTTGGCGCAGATGCGTTTATTTTTAACAATTGTGGTTAAGTTTTCAGCAATGATCGATTTGGGTGCATTTATATGCAATCTATGAAACCTACTTCGATCTTTTTATTGTTCATGTATGTAGAGTTGATAAATTGAAATAAGGTATATTTTCTAGTTTCATAGGGCCATCTAATCTTTGCAGTTATTATTCTTGTTTCAATTATGCACATTGTAACATGCATGAAGCTGTTGTTTCCCATAGTAATTACGTCTGCCAAATGGATCACGACATTTCGGCATTGTTGGATTTCTCACTGTCTAGTTCCCAGTTATATAGAAATTATTGCCGCTGATCCCTACAAAACCCCGACATTCTTGGCCCCAATAGCAGTTCCCCATGGGGGTCGCAGGGGCACAGCCCCCTACATTAGGCAATATTGTGAATGATGCTGTTTATGTCATTTACATTTTACCATGCAACTTCCCTGGTACCTTTTCATGCCCTCCCCTGCTATCGAGGCCAAGAATGTGGGGGTAAGGGGGGAGCTTCCGCCCAGTAAAAGCTACATATTTGCATTGTAGACAGTGAGAGGAATCCAACGATACTGAAAACATCACAATCCGTTTGGTGGATGTATTCTAGAAAATTTCCGTTACCCCATGCAAGAAATATAAATGAATAATTTTTTCATATGTCCGCATAACGGATCATGATGACTTTGGTATTTTTAGATTCCTCTCACTGTCTAGTTTCCAGATATAGAAATTATTGAGCAGAAACCCCCCACATTCTTGGCGGCAATAGTAGGGGAGGGCATGAAAGGTACAAGGGAAAGTGCAGGGTAAAATGTAAATATATACAAAAAACAGTCACTATATTGTCTGATGCAGGAGGCTGTGCCTGCTGTGACCCTCTCATTTAGGGAGGCCCCCCCCAACCCCTGCCTAGGAAAACAAAAGAATCCACCACATATTCATGACAGGAGAGACTTGGCAATGCCGCTCATGCCTGCAGTGAATATGTGGAGGATGTGGTTTAACGTTTTTTAAACTTCCTTCCCAAAGTGTTGTTGCTTTAAAATCATTTATATGTACATGTTTAAATTCTGAACATTATTTTGCAGAAAAACAGGACAGGTTATTAAACTGTGAACACACTTCATGTGAGTAGGTGGATTGTAATATGAATATTTTATATAAACAACTAGCTTTTTAGCTAGCTTTAGTTGAACTTTGCATGCACTGACTATGTGAGTGATGCAGGCTTGGGTTTGTAATCTAGGTTGAGGTTGAAACAAGTCCAAGCTGTCTTGCAAGAATATATGTGATGAAAATTTGTTAATCTCTGTTGGAAAGCTGAAGGAAATTGACCTTGTGTGACATATATTTTTTTACAACAATAATATTTAAAATTGATGATTACAAATCAGTGGAGCGTATAGTGAGTTCTCACTGTTTTTGGAAGAACTTTTCAGCTGCTTGTGTTGTTCCCCAGAATTGCCAACTAATTCCCCATTGAAATTTTTTATGCTTAATGCAAGTTGGAATTTTATATAATTTAGTTTTATTCCATTTTTTAAAATGATTCCTCTGGTGTGACAGGCTAACAGTTACATTTGTTTCTAAATTACCCCCTGTGTGCAAGGAATGGCCAGGGTTACTATCCACTACCGGTGAGGGGATTGAACGCAGGTCAACATGATGAGACCACTGCAGCACCACACACACACAGGACTTCCTTTTCTCTTTCTTTCTCTCTTTCTGAGAGAGAGGAGAGGAGAAAAGAGAAAGAGAAGAGAAAAAGAGAAAGTCTCACTCTTTCTCTCTTTTCTCTCTTTCTCTTTCTCTTTCTCTTTCTCTTTCTCTTTCTTCTCTTTCTCTTTCTCTTTACTCTTTCTCTTTCTCTTCTCTCTTTCTCTTTCTCTTTCTTTTCTCTCTCTCTCTTTCTCTCTCTCTCTTCTCTCTCTCTCTCTCTCTCTCTCTCTCTCTCTCTCTCTCTCTCTTTCTCTCTCTCTTCTTCTCTCTCTTCTCTCTCTCTCTTTCTCTCTCTCTTTCTCTCTTCCTCTTCTCTCTTCTCTCTTTCTCTCTCTCTCTCTCTCTCTCTCTCTCTCTCTCTCTCTCTTTCTCTCTCTTCTCTTTCTCTCTCTTTCTCCTCTCTGCTCTTCTCTCTCTCTCTCTCTCTCTCTCTTTTCTCTCTCTTTCTCTCTCTCTTCTCTCTCTCTCTCTCTTCTCTCTCTCTCTCTCTCTCTCTCTCTCATCTCTCTCTCTCTCTCTCTCTCTCTCTCTCTCTCTCTCTCTCTCTCTCTCTCTCTCTCTCTCTCTCTCTCTCTCTCTCTCTCTCTCTCTCTCTCTCTCTCTCTCTCTCTCTCTCTCAGTCTGATTGTGTGGAATGCACATACCAAGAAAATATCTTAGGACTACAGAATTACTTTTTATAGAATAACAAGGTTTAGTGATTAACTATGAATACCACATTTTTAAAACTTACCACTACATGGAAGTAGAAAAAAATGAATGTTTAGTAATACTAAAAGATTAAGTTGGAAGCTACAGGAGAGGAATGACTTTTTTCCCCATGTCAGAATAGATATATGCAGATGTGAATTGAAGGGAAAATTGAATGATAATAAAACAGATAAGAGAAATTTATATTAAATGATTATATTCATTATTTTCCCTTAGAAGACTAATATTTATTTTTTCATACTCCATGAACTTTTGTATGTCTGCTTTCATTTTTGGGTTGATGACTACTTGCCTTTTTTATCTGGGTCCATCTGCCTTGGAGACAATATCTTTATCAGATACTGATAAGAAGATATAGTGCTACTATATTTGAGCGTTTGATCAGCACTCTTTCCTTTGTCAGAGAACCCTTGAGCTGGTAGGTTGTGAAGCTAGTGGATGTCATTGCTGGCATTTTTAATTTTGTTCTACAAATATGTTTACCAGGATTATTTTAGGAATTGCTATGTTTGTTGTGCTTTATTAACATAGTCACCAGTAAGTTTATCCTCTTTTCAGGCCTTGCGCAGTGTGCCGAGTTGTGTTGGCAGCTGCGTGGTGAAGCTGGCAAACGTCAAGTGCCAGGGGCAAAATTAGCTCTTCAGCATAACATTGGCCTCGGAGGAGCAGCGGTTGTAGCACTCTACAGGATGGGCTTCAGAGGAAATGAACGGGGGTGAGTTTAGGTTGTATCTATGGTTGACGTTTTCCAGCAAGATTTTCCGTTATAATTATATTGATTAGACATGCATTGGAGTATTATTTTAATGTTTATATAATTTTTTGTTTTTCTTATTTTTTTCCTATGCTGTTATGAACTTTAGAACATTACAGTATATTAATTTATCATTAAAGAAAGCTGGATGTAGAAAGATTTCAGAATGACAGCATGGTTTGGAATATTAAGGCCCTATAAGAGCTTAATACTCCATATAACAATATATATATGATAAAGCTGTTACAATCTCCATGATTTTACATTTCATTTTCTGTGATAAAGGCATCATGATCTCTCCAATCTACTTTGCATTTCATTTCCTGTAACTACTTTCATTTATTTATTTATTCTTTAAATGTTTCCTTAGGATTGTGGCAGCAGCTACATCAGCTGGAGAGGAGTTTAAAAGTGCAAACATCTTCAATGCTATTGAAGTTGCGCTTTCTGAAGATGGACCTAAGCTCGTTAACAAGGTACAGTAAGAATGTTATTTTGTTAAAGTTTTTGTAATATATTTATATATGATGCACCATAAAGAGAATGACCTGAGCTTGATTTTTCTTTATATTTCAGGTAAAGGGTGTGTACTGCTTCCAAGTCAAGGGAGGTCCTGATGGCAAAGAAGCCAAGTGGATTGTGGATGCCAAGAATGGTTCGGGATCAGTTGTCTACAATGGTTCGGGTGAGTATAAACAAAAACTATAAGCTAGTTACAAGCAAATATGCACACCCAAATTTAACTTCCAGATTCTCATGTGCACATGATAAAAACTCACAAATACACCTACTTACACAAAAAAACACACTATCAAGGGTCCTGAATGCCCAAATTTGAACTTGCAAGTTCCCGTATGCACATGCATAAGTACTCATGAATACACCTACTTACACACACACACACAAAAAGACATGATACCGAGAGTTTTGTGCTTAGACACCACATTCAGTGCTCTGTGTCAAATTCAAAATTAAATGCAGACAAACTACTATATATGCCAATACACTGTTCTCATGATTTCATGATCTTTTTTTTTTCTAGCCAAGCCAGATGTCACAATCACCATGAACGACAACGACCTTGTTGATCTGATGGAAGGGAAGCTGAACCCACAGAAGGCCTTCTTCCAAGGAAAGTTGAAGATAAAGGGAAACATGGGCTTGGCCATGAAGTTACAAGAATTCCAAAAAGATACCAAACAGCTCAAGGCCAAGCTCTAGGGTTTAGATGCCTTTTCTTACCACTTACCCTTTTCTTCCTCTTTCTTTTCTAATTGTCTCATTCTCCTCTTCCTCTTCCTCTTCTCTTGCCCCATTCATCCGTTAAATTCACTTTTTAATGCTTCTATATTCAGAATACATCCTTCTCTTTGGTATCATTATGCATCTATAACACTTTCAAGAAGACAAGAAATGGTACATAAAAAAAAAAAATCAAATAAAAAAAACAAGGTTGATGGTAAGAGAAAAAGCCATTTGAATGCAACATCAGTGTGTATGTCTCCATTTTTTAAATATTAAATTGGATTTATAGTAGTCCAGAGGAGATTGAATTGATAAATGCCTCAAGGACTGGCCCAGGCACTTGACGTTAAAAAGAGCTTTGAAATCTTGCTCAGATATATGACACAGATTTAATCGCATCCTAGAAATGTCCAACTTTAGAAAGAACTCCACCAAAGAAACAGGAAGCAAGGATATGGCTGGTGATGAATTGCAAATGAGTCAAAATCCTATGCATAATATTATCTGACCATCATAAACACCACAAATTCTCAGTTCCACAATGTATATGCATTGAAAAATAAAATAAGAGGAATTTCACACACAAGTTGTATGTATTACCTGAATGGTGAATATATATTTCCTGAGGATGGTGATTTTATACTACAATATGGATGAACATTGCCAGTTTTCATGAAAATCTATTGTCCATGTACCTCTGTGACCCTGTTTCTTCCTTTACTAAATGAAACTCGCTTTAACAAGTTTATGTTATAGCCAATTTCACAACTTAAATATCTTAGTATTGTAGGGAATATGGTTCCTGTACAAAACAGTTTTCGCACAATATAAGATACGTATGTGGATCTAAAGTCCACAAGCAGTGTAATCAATGCAATGTTTGAAATTGTTTAAGGTATTTGCATGTGCAAATAAAGCAATGCCAGCAATGCAATGGAAATGACTGTACAGCCTTCAGGTACTAAACCTTTGAATGCATGAAGTGGTTCTGAATAAGTGAACTGAGATTGTATGCAAGTCTTAGTGTAGTATCAAGGAAGCAAAATTTGGAAGAACAAAAGTTAATGTTAATTGTTACAAAAACTTGGTTTATACATTTTATTTTACATTGTATATTCTTTTCAAAATATTTTGTTTATATAGATATCTATGTTTTAATAAAGATTTATTAGATTATTATTTTTTTAATGTCTTGTAAGTAAGAAAGAAAATCCCAAAAGATGCTAACTCCAAAAGTAGTCATGTGAGGATAGAACATTTTGAAATGATTTCAAAAAGATAATTTGGTCCGCCCGGGCGACCTTTGTTGGGTAAACTTGCCCCAATGCGGGCTAAGGCTGTTGTGAGCATTTATGCTGGTCCAGTTCAATTAGACTTTCGAAGACTAGCTTCGACCGGGCCTTTTCACTAGAGTGGCCCGGCCTAATTATGCTGGTGTCCAAACGACATTATTATGCAGTCGGAGCCTGGCAGTGAGGCACCAGGATCGAGTGGTGTACGACAACACGAGTCGTAATTCCTCCTTGGTGTAACATTTCCCGAAATATAGAAGCCCGTTGATTGATGGTGAAACAGGAGAGATGACCGCGCCTTGCGTCACAATGTCAATTCGTGCGTCTGGCTATACCATACCAGACCCACCGCCCAAACCGTGACATGCAACATAGTCGGAGAGCTGGATGGACTTTAATCACAATGGAGAATACAAAGGGTTGAGGGAGTAATTCTATTAGAAATTATACTAAGGAAGGAAGGTGCGTTTTCCGTTGCACAGTCCTAGGCTTTTAGTCCGAGAATCCCAAAAGGTGGCCCAAAAATCTATTAAAAAAAAACAATCTGTTTAAGTCAATTTCATTTAGAAACCCCTCAAACTAAGCTAATGCAGCTTTAAGGCATGAAAATGTCGGGTTAAATGTTTTGACCACAAGTATTTTTGATTCGCTCCAGGGTTCAGACACCATATCCCCAACTTAAAGCATATTTTGGGGGGGATTTCTGGATTAGATGGGGAATACTTGAATTCTGAGGGATGTGAGGACGCTCAAAACTGATTTTGTATAAAAGAGGGAGTACACATTTAATTGATGCTATGGATAAAGGATTATTTCAAATTAACCTAAATGTAATTGAAAACACCAAAATGTCTAGGGTCGCAAATGAAGATGCATACTAATTAACGACCAATAAACGTTTTGATTACACTTTCAAGTACAACAGATTCTTAAAAAAAAATGTAATCCAGGGCACCTTATCCACAACTCGACTTTTTATTTTTATTTTATTTTTATTTATTTATTTATTTATTTATTTATTATTATTTTTTAAGATAAAGATCGATTGCATGTTTGTTCACAATTTCAATTACATATACAATATTTTAGTTTTCGATAATTAAGGGACTCTTGACAGCACATTAACATCTTGGAACAGTAATACTTGAGGTTTCCCGGTGAGACACGTTTGCTTTTCAAATTCAATAGCTAGGTGCTGGTAAAGTCATAAAGGTTCTGGGGATTCGAATTTTCGTGACGGCGATTGAGGCCCAGTGTGGGACTCGCCCTAGCGGCCTTCCTTGGATCTCAACCAATTTGCAGGGACTTTTCTCTCACCCTACGTTTTCCTTCTCTTCGTCTTCTGCCCACATCCGTAAGGTGGGTACACACGTTGCATTTCCACGTATCGTATCATCATTGCGTATCACCCAGTGATACGATACGGTGTAACTGGGTATTGTACCCACTTGTTGCGAATCTACGTGTTGTATCATCGTTCGGTGTTGCAACAGTGTCATTCAGTTTCTTCCTTACCGCAGCCATGAGTGCAAATATGTAGTTGGCTACTGCCGCGTACATTTTTATTCATGAACATCAAGTCAGTAAAAGGAAAAAAGTCACTTCGTTGGTGGGTATCTAAACCCTGTGCAAGTAGGGACATGTGCAATGGGACAACTGTGTTGGCTGACAAGACAACGTGCAACGGGACGATGCCACGCTCCCCGTCCACACGAGGTTGGTGAGTTGTGTATCATTCCTTTGATGTGACGGCAAAAGACCGACAAATGGCGGATGGCCCGTTGCGTATGTTTGTATCACATTTTGACGCGCAACATTGCAATCTATCCCGTCCACACTGCTACGCAACGGTGATGCGAGACTAGGAAATGCAACAAGTGTGTACCGTTAAAACTTTTGTATGTGAGAATAATGACGCTTGTGTGTTTATTTATTTGTATATACATATACATATATACATACATACATACATACAAACATACACACACACACACACACACACACACACACACACACACACACACACACACACATATATATATATATATATATATATATATATATATATATATATATATATTTGTTTGTCTTCCCCCCCCCAAAAAAAAAAAAAAAAAAAAATATCGTGTTGGAAGAATGGTATGGCTTGGTGGTCGAGTTCTGGGAAGTTTTCCCACAACTCTAACTCCAGGATGCCAACTCCCAAAGGTAAAGTCATGTGAGGATAGAACATTTTGAAAAAGATGATTTAGTTTGCCCGGG